AAATACAACTTCATTTGCAGATTTTTTTTTGAAAATTTACAATAGAAAATGAGGAAATAATTAATAGAATCCAAGTTCTAGTGTTAAAGATGAGACAAAGTTTACATTCAGATTTTCAATATAAAAATTAGATCTATGCTTTTACGCAGCTTAACTTAGAAAGTGAGGAAATAATTCATAGAATCCAAGTTCTAGTATTAAATATAACGCAAAGTTTACATTCCAATTTTCAATTTAAAAATTCGATCTATGCTTTTACTCAAATTAACCCCAAAAATTATATGGCAAGATTGTGTTTCTTCCAGTCCTTAAAGGTTGTTATAGTTCTCAGGACAGTGGAATAAGACCGCAGACCCAGAAGAAATTGAAAATGTAACCCAAACGTAAAACAGACAGAGAGAACTTGTACGTATGAAATAAAACTAATCAAGATTTGTCAGAAAAGTTTGAAAGAAAAGTTTACTTAGAGAAAATAAAATATACCAGTAGCTACAATCATAATAATGTAAAAAATATATATTAATGTTATTAATTTTTTTCCATTTGCGTATGAACCCTGTCACGTACTATCTTTTATACCCTTGTCTCTTTTTAGAGAGAAATGGGAGTGATCTGAGAGGGAAGATTGAATTTTTTTCTAAACAGGCATTGTTTCCGATGCATTTCGTACTCTAAATTGAATGAAACCATTTACGAGATTATCAGGCTAATAGTTTAAAAGTTATGTAGATTTTACATACAAAAAATACAAACTTGTACACGTGCCTATTTACGAATCTAACATGGCGATCAAAAGAAAAAATGCATGCATGTGAATTCGCTGCCATCGCTGAGATTTGAGCCCGGTTCACCTCCGGTTCTATTCCCTGAAGATAGTATACCTTCCAATATGAAAAATGCTACCACTGGGCTAAGTGTAATATTTTAATTTAATAATTGTTTGCTGAAGATATTATTAAAGTTTGCCTTGTAATATTTTTATGCTTTACTAAAAAGAATGTAGGAACAAAAAAGCTTTTCAGATAAACTCTTAAATCATTTACTTGTAGTGGTGTGAAAATAACAGCAAATCCAATTTACAAAAGCGGAATGATACATAAAATCATCAACTTAGCTACCACCAAAATTAATTTTCCCAAAAGTTGGCAGCCCTGTACTTAACTTATTATCAGATAATAATGTTGAGAGACCGCTGGTCGACTTGTATCAGCTGCCAACTCATGAAGGTGGTTAATAAAATTTTAAATGTAGTTTAATTTATTTAGTATATATGAAATAGATGTTGCTAATACCTATAAACTTTCTTTCAGGTGGTGTTTGATTTATAAAAGATATCCTTAAGAACAGTGAAACAGCGCTAGAAGTTCTGTTGCGAACACCAAAATATTTCTCAAAAAGAATGCATTCATTCAAATGCTTGCACTTCTATGCTTATTGGGACAGATCTCTTGAGAATGACAACACAATGACGCCAAACTACATCCGAGTATCTCAAGCGCCTAGAAAATACAAAAATTGTAATCTGCTTTCTCTTAACCGGTTAACGCCCAGCTTCATATATTTAGCACAGTTCCTATTTTCAAAGACATTCATTGTGGTGGGAAACTTTTTTCGAATTTTTATTTATCTGGGTGAATTAATAGATTCTCAGATACCACAATGATTTAGTTATTTCTGACTAGATCTAGAATTAAAAGGAGCAAGTACTTTTTGATCTATTAAAGACTTTCTGAATGCTCTAACAGTAAAAAAACCAATTAATTTCGATAATGTATTATGCCCCCTTTTTCCTAAAACCACTTCTTGCATCATTTCAACATATAAAGTAGGGACAAAACGGGTTAAAACATAGAGGGTGTCCCATAAATGATTGATTCATATTAAACGTAGATTGTAAATACTACCTGATATGAGAGAAAAATGTGGTATTTGCTGCATTGTTATTATTAGAACAATGCATTTTAGAGAAAAATGCATTGAGTTTAAATAATTTAAAATTTCGACACATAGTACCGCTAGAAGAAACATGTGCAGGTTAAGAAGATTCTACAAAAACATTGTCAAATGTATGCGCAAATTTTGTCTATAGACTATGTCATATTAAAAATACGAAAGTTGGCTACATTTGCAATTTTGCTAAATAGATTTTAATAGTCAGTGTTGCCTAGTGATAACTATTTGAACTTATTTTATTAAACAAAATATTTTCCTAATAATACTGCCGGAACGGTATATTTTTCTATTGAAATAATGTTTTCAAAATAATTTTATGGTCACCCTAAAAATCTGTTAGACTACCGGAATTATATTAGTGCTAAATTATGTAATATCTAAAAAAAGAAATTTGAAAAAAAAAATGCTTTTTATTCATATTTAAAAATTTATCAATGTATTTTAATGAAGCTGTTTATCTTATATCTTAATAACTGAAAATAAGCGCACATTTTTTAAGAAACGATTTTACCTTCAACATAGAAAAAGAGAGATTTCTTTCTTTAACTAATAACCATACATTATTAAAATGTTGAATAAAATATTTTTACTTGTTTTGAAGCAAACTAATGAAAAAAAAAAATAAAAATAAGTTTAGGAAAAATTCTGCGTCAAGGACTTAACTTGCTCTTCTTATCAAAATTTGCCAATCAGAATTTTGCTTAGTAAAAAAACGACGTGTCTGAAAGCTTTTAGTATGATATTTCAAATTGTACAAACAGTTTTGTTATGTTAAATCTTGTAAAACATTAACTGCAAAAAGTAAGATTGTTTTCATAGATTAGTATCGAAAGTGAGTCAATATTTTTTATCCAACTCCTGTATCTATGCACTTGTTTGCTCCTTTGAAAGTAATACTTAAAACAAGAATCATAAACTGAAATGTATCAAGTTACTACGCCTACCGTATTAGTGAAATAGTGACACCCTTGGGTAAATAATAAAAACAATATTCCAGGTGTGAATGATACTGTTGAATTACATAGAAATTTAGCTTGTAAATGAGAGAAACTGATTGCAGATTTGATGCAAAAGTATCTAAGTTTTGCTTAGAAAAATCTCATGCAGCGAAACAAAAATGTTTCTCAGTATTATTTATCTTTTTTTCCACCTCGTTAGACCTAAATTAACCATTACAGATCTGCCATCTACAACGCTTTTTGCTAAATATTTTATGGAGTGGTAGACGTTCAAAAACCAAAGCATTCAGAAGTTTGGTAACTTCGCCAGCATTTTAAAAGCCTCATCACGAAAGAGCTAGAGCAAAGTGGCTTTGCATATGAACTTTAAAATCATTTATATGTAGTTGGGAAAAATAAGTTCAAATGAATAAGAAATGATACATTAAAACACAAACCTAGGCATCACTAGAATAAATTTTTACAAAAAGTATAAAAAGTTGGCTGCCCTACCATTAGGATACCTCGCCAAATTCAGCTTACTCACAACCTGGAAAAATTAGAGTCAATTTTTAGCACACATAAATGCATTAAAATATCTATATATTCTTTTCTTATTTAAACTTTTCTTATTTAAAACAATTTTCAGGTTTTCATTCAGGTCATTATTTCATATCATTATTTCAGGTTTAAATAAATTAAAAAATTTCTGATGAAATAAATTTAATAATCAATAAAATATGAAATAATTTTAAAAATACCATTGAAACTGATTTTATTACTAATAATAGTATAACTGTCTTCAATTTTTACAGATTATAAAGATTTCAGTCTTGAAGTTGATCGATGGCTGGAAATTAAAGTAGATATGAGTGTATTTGAAGACTATCAAGTAAATATCAAATACTATTAATTTTAAATAGGTAACGTTAAAAATGTTTTTCTGTAAATATATATTGTTTAGAGTTTTGCCAGTTATTGTAAATTTATACTCATACATATCCCATATTCAAGAAATAAATATTGTCAATTTGGCCAAATGTACGGATCGGAAAAAAAGCTAATATCCTAAATAATTTCGATTTAATAATCGGATTTTATTTTTTCTGTTTCGAGAGCCTAATTTTGAATAAGCTTATTATTAGTTACGAGAGCGATATTTTAAACTAAGAATTCAGACAAAAATTATTCTTTATCTGAAAATGAAAAAGGCTACCA